CGAGTTCCCTGCTGCTGCTTCCCCTCCGGTCCCGAAATTGACGGGGGGGGGCGAAACTTCCCTGCAAAAAGAGGAAAAGAAATTGGTTTTGCAGAAGGCTCCGGGCGTTGCCTTCTCCTGCAGAGCACCGCAGGGCTAGTCCCGCTCTGCTGATGGTAGCCCGGGGGCGCAGACACTGCGCAGGGCCTGCTCCGTCGCGGACCGGCTCCGGCCGCGCAGCAGGAGGAGCGGGGCAAGGTCCGCATCTCCCCTCCACCGAGCCACCGCGGCAACCGAGCCACCGCGGCCACCGCAGCACGGCTCCTGCCCGGGGAGCAGGCCGGGAGGGCCGGAGACGGGCCTGGGGTCTCTGCCCTTCGTCTCATCCGCGGCCTTGATCAAATCCCTGTGCGTTGTACCTCAGTCTCCGCCCTAATTAATGATCTTTCTCCAGACGCGAAGATGAAAAGCCCGTGCGTAACCCTCACGGCGCCCAGCGCTTCTCCCTTCGCCGTGGGCCGCGGAGCGCGGGGACGGGCGAGCCCCGGCTGCCCAGGGCGCCCAGGCGTGGGAGCGCGCTGGCCCGGCCGCAGCTCGGCCGGCCCCAGGGCCCGAGGGCGTCCCGCTGGCCAGCCGAGAGCGTTCGGTCTCGCTTCCCGCAGAAAAAGATATTCCTAGAAATATCCTTTTCCACCAAATAGATACACAAATGGATTTAATTTAAAAATAAACTTTTACAAGTATTTTCATCCCAACTTCAGGCACAAACACTCAATTCTAAGATCGCCCATGGAATCTTCCGGCTGGTAAAGCGAGTCTGGTTTAGCTGGGCATCATTAACACGCAGCGGAAACGGAGACCGGGACGCCGCCTTCCTCCCGTCCTCTTTGCAGCGTAAAAGCGTGCTCAAAGTCCTCCCACCGCGATCTTTGCAAAGCCTTTTTTGCCGCAGACGCTGCTCCTGGCAGCAGCCTGCTATGGGTAATTTCCTAATCACGGGAAGCGAGGTTTGCGCTCCGGGTGCTAAGACATGCCCTGGGACAGTTACCCAGAATTTCCCATGCCGCTACGTCCTTGCTCTTACGGAGCGAAACAGCTCGCCGTGATCTCGCCGTGATCTCTCCTGAGCAGCAGTTAAAGCCTCGATGAGGTCTGACGTAGCGCGTTACAGAGGATGCTCCGCATTTGTATGAGGTGCCATTAACTGGAAATTTAGCCGAAGAGCACTGTAAGACACAAATAAGTGGGATCGGCAGATCTCCTCTGCAGAAGGAGGCAGTGACTTCCCCCGCCAGCGGCGGGAGGGCGGCTCTCCCTCCCCGGGCTGTCCTGCACGGACGGCCAGCACGCACAGCGCTCCCCAACCCCGTCCCCCTTTCCCATCCCGGCTGCCGCCGCCCCGCTCGCGGCTCAGCCCTGTAATCCCAGCCCGAGGTCTGGGGCCGGGGATCCTGGCGTCGCCGGGTGATCTGCTCCTGGGCGCTTGGCTTCCCGCCGCCGCGGCAGCCGTTTGCTGTCCCCGTGTTCGCTGTTCTCTCCTGCAGCCAGAGAACCCGGAGGTGCCCATGTGCTCGGGATGGGATTAAGCAAACGCTGCTGGCTAATTGTGCCACCTGATTTTTAAGGCAGCAGCCTTTCGTTAACGAGCTTTGGGGTGTGACTAAATAGATCAGCTCAGAGGAAAGAAAAGCCTGATCTGGCCGGTGCCTTCCCCCCACCAGTGGAGCCCAGCCCTGTGGGAAGGGGCTGCTCTGGCTGCGGCTGGGCCTGACCTGGGCGCTGACGGGTCCTGCAGCAGTCGTCGTGCCGTCTGCGTTCGGCAGCACGAGGAAAGCTGGAAGACGCCTTCCAAGCGTTCGAGTGAGTTTGTCTTTTTTTATGGCTCTTTAAACACCTATAAGTTATTTGGTGATATTAAATGTTGCTTGAACAGGACCAATTCTGGCAAAGGGTTTGGCCACAAAGACCTCGTTAAGAAACCACGAGCGTGGGCTCTGTGGGATTTCAAAGAGCCCAACTCCTCCTCGGGGTCAGCTCTGTAACGCTGCGTAACGACAGGCTCGGAGCGGGAGAAACCCCAGCAGGAGAAGTCAACGTGCTGGCCTTTGGGGAAACCGTTAGCTGCTAGTTTGGGTTTACTGGCTCCATTTCTGTGGAACAGACAAGCAGAGCAGCCAAACGGGGCCGAGTGAAACCTGCTTTTATTAGGTGATGTCAACAATTCAACCCAACAACTCAACTGACAATACGCTGACTGAGTGGTACTTGAACAGCTGGAAAAAAGTTGACTACGTGTACCGAAGTGTATTTGTGTAGCTATATTTAGCACTTTGGGGAAAACACCATAAAACCTTTCAATGCTGTCAGCCATTTTAAATAACTCTTTAAAACACAGTCGCAACTTCTTAAATCTACAAATCTTTCACTAAGAAAAACGACATAAACCTTGGTGAAAGCATTCCCAGGAGATGCGGATTAGCAGTTGGCAAACACGGCATTTCATCCTCCTCTCTCTGCCCCAGAGCTAACGCGCGTTACTTATCTTCCTACAACAGGCTCTCACTACAGGCTGCGCGCTGTTCCCGAGTGTCACCTCCCCTACGCTCCTAGCCACGCTACTTGGCTGCCGAGCCCTCTCCTTGCTAACGTTAGCATTTTATCGTGTCATTAATCATACGGTAGAGTATTAACTTGTTTTACAAATGTGAAACCTAAGATTCTCGTAGTTATTTAACTTGCTGAATTACCAATTCCATTAATAGAGAGAGCAACAGAAGTTCTTCACTTAGCCTGAAGGCTAAGGTGATGCAAAGTTGTAGATGACTCGTGTTCGAAGGTGAAACTGAAGGACGTTCTCCTCGACCTATACTAAATACTACCGCTTAAACCTTTCAAAGCCTACTTTGAAACATGCCCCTATCAAAAAGCGGCACAGCAGAAACTAAATGGATACCTCTATTTCTTGGACTTCTTTACAGTTCCTTTGACTTGCTGGATAATAGCTTTCAAGATCTTTTCCATTTTGCCTTTTGTCAGTGACTTCCTACAGTACCATGTTTGGTCCCATACGGAGCAGAGAGGCTTGGGCGCCAGGTAAAGTGGATCGTAGTCATGAAGCATGTCCGGCGGCCTCCTCTTAGCATACTCCTTGTAATCTGTGACCGGACAGTTATCTGGGTTGTCGGGCTTGGCAAAGAGACGTGGGCCCAGTTCCCTTGTATCTACCTCTGCGCTCAGATCATCGTTCCATTCCAAGTACTCCAGCTCTCCCTCGTTCCTCTTTAGCACAAGCTGGCCCCAGTACAGATTATGGCTCCGACTGTGTGTACTTGCCCCAAACCCCCTAATGATATTTGTGAACATGAGGTGCAAAAAGCCCTGAGGGTGCGTCTTACTTAAAAGCCCCTTCTTACGAAGACCGCCCACCTCTTCATCTGTCAGGTTCTCCAAAATACTCCACTCTCCCTCTCTCTCTTTTTGAGATAGGTGCTGGTGCTTTAGTTTCAAGGCTTCCTGAGATGCTCGGAATTCCAACCCTTTAACCACGCTGTACTTGTAGTTGTGATCCTTGAGGTACCTCTCTATGCTGCTCTGATAGAAGTGCAAAGAACTGGCGGAAAAATCTGTGCCGTTCTGTCTCTTTGCAGAACTGTAGAACGAGGCCAGGTAATTATCGAGGTCTTCGGGTGGCAGCTCATAGATCTCGCGCGTTTCAGAAGGGCAATGTAAAACCAGCCAGTCTTTGAAAATTTTTATATCGCTAGCGTTACGGTTTCTCTTTTTCTCCCACTTCTTCAACTCATCTGAAAGATAAGACACAGCTTTGAGGACAGCAAGAACTTACAAGGAGATCAGTGAAATATAAGGAGATGCAGAATAATGTTCACCTTCCTTCTAAAAGTAATTCAGAGATTATGGGACTTTCGCAAGCCCCCTCCTTTAACGCTTCGGTTAGATCTGTGTCCTCGACGAGCCGGCCAGCACCCCCTGACAGCACCAGCCCAGATAGGGAGAGGACCGCCGCCTGCCTTGTTCTTTCTCACCTGGCTGCTCGATCTGCGCACTACCATGTAGATACACTTAAGACATTCTTTCTTTTTGAATTATGTTTAAACGGGAGAGAATGAGTTCCTAGTGAGATTTAATCGCTGAGCGTCACTGTGGGGTGCGCGTGTGGAAGGCATTGGTGCGAGTTCTATGGGCCTTCGCGGACAGCAGTGGGGGACCGGAGCCCAGGCCTGTCACGGGTGGCTTGGCTTGACATTGAACTTCGCCCTGGCCGATTTTGGAGTTGACTCGGAGCGCGCTTGTGGGACCAGCCACGCAACCAGCGGCCGCAGTCCTGAGCCTGCAGTGCTGGCTACGAAGCCCAAGCAACCCCAAATGGACTCGATATACTTTCATCGATTTGCGGCTGCTCTGGCGTGTATTTCGTGGTGACTGCGGGGGCCAAACTCTGCTCTCTTAAAAGAGATGGGAGCTGGCCTGTACGTGGATCTTGTGAGCTGCCTCAGGACTAAGCAGCATCCATTTCATATGTTCAAAGTGTTGTACAATATAGTTTGCATTATGCAAAATATATTCAAAGCATTCTTCTTTACAACAATCTCTTTGGGCAGGAGAACTCTCATTGTGAAATAAAAGCATTAACCAAAAGTTAGGGGTAGGTAGTGAGGGAGAACAAAAAGATGAGTAAAAGTATACTTTTTTTTTTTTTTAAAAAGGAGTGCCAGGATTCCAGTTGGGTTCGCTCTCAAGTTGCTATGGCAATCCCACATCTACCTAGTTCGATGTAGCATGAGAAATTAATTCTTTGGATTGCTGAAAAGCTCCATCTGCTCGCCTGTGACTTTTCCAGGGCTGAAGAGGGGTAGGTTGAAAAGGATTCTAGAGCCAACATCTAGAGACTCCCCTTCTTGCATCGAGTTGTTTTATACACGCTCAGTTGTTACCTTAAAATGCTGTGGCTGGACTGAGGTGAATTCTACTGATCCCCATGCTGCTGGTTTGGGTTTTCTGCTTGTTTTGTTACCGACTGCTCTATGTGAAGAGATGAATGGCTCGTAAATCAATACATGCAGCGGCCTCGCTTGAGCCATAAGCCATTTATCTTGGCAGAAACGGCTACTACACAGACATTCCCAGATGAATTCCCAGTCCCTTCTGCTGATATATGTTGTCAGTTACAAAAAATAGTCAAATAATGTTCACAAAAAATAACTGGGCCGGTTTGTACGGTTAGGGCTCCATAAGGAACACGAACGTCTGTGACCCCAAGCCTATTCAGGAATACTAACGGTGCTTTGAGTGTACACCCACTGTGTTACAGATAAACCCCAAAATACTATTTCAGTAATCCCTTCTTTTGAAGGGCACTGTCCAGTCCCCTGTGCTGCAGGAACCCGCAGCAGGCTGCTGCTCGTTAATGTTACGGCCAGCTGAGATGGGTATAAATGTCTGGCGCAGTGGGACAGGCGTTCAGGGTGGGTTGGGGCAGCGTAGGTACAGCCCTGCCCTGCAGCTGGGGAGGAGTCTGGAGATGCAGTCGGTCGGGAAGCATCCTGCGTGGCCGCAGGGCAGTGCCGCAGCAGCTCCGCCAGGCTGGGCGCCCGGCGTGCCACGGACGAGGCCACGGGGCTGGATGGCGACTGCGGGAAGAGAGCAGGCTTTGGGGAATGTGAAACAGGATTCTCATACTGAGCGTGTGGAAGGCAGACACACTGTTGGGGGCTGCTTCTCAGTTAGATGGAGCCAAGGCAGTAAGCCTTGGATGGAAAACATATACTCTTACTCTGAAATATATTTTAAAAATCTGCCTCAATGTGTACACCTAGATACTAGCAGACAGAGCCATAAAACTGACTAGACAGCAGTTTACTTGGTATTAATGGGAAATAGCACCTGCAGGCACTCAAATCATTATAGATGCAAATTTTGTGGCTTTACTATAACATCTTTAAAAACCTGGACATTTGCATTTTATTTGAAGTGTTTAATCATTAGATTAAATAATATATATGTACCTGGCATTAAGGCTCCAGTATATTATAAACATCTATCCTAAAACATGATCATTTATTAAATGAATTAAAGCGATTTCATTGATGGCTTCCCCACTACCTGCAAAAGACTAGCATAATTCTGGTAACGTCCACACATTGTGTGTCAGCTGTTCCTTCTTGTGTGGACGGTGTCTGTTTTACAGCCGCAAGCTAGGCTTCTAACATCTGTGTCAAACAGCATATTCTCGTGATATTGAATCATTTAAATACGCTCTGTACGTGGCTTAACCTTGGTATCGGAAGTTCTCTAGTAAGCAGTGTATCGTGCAAGTTAATGTTTGAGCAATTATAACTCTCCCCACTCCAGCAGGATTCCAAGGACAGTGTGTATGAAAATCTTAAAATTCTTAAAAGTACTAAAGCAATTTGTTTAACTCTTATAATTCAATATGCAGAATTGAAACTTTGCTCCCATTGCAATCTCTGGGATTTTTGCCACTGACTTTGGTGCAGCCAGAGTTTCAGCCACAATTTCTCTGTTTCGCTGCTTTAAGTCACTTCCTCTTGTTTTCTTCTCGAGACCCGAGTTCCCACCTCCGGCTCCAGTTTCTCACAGGGACTCTCTCTTAAGTACAGCCAACATAGTATGTGGTGATATGGAGTAAAATCAAAGACCAGAGTATTCAAACTGGGTAGTGAAGGCTGGGCCGCAGCCAAGTACACATCTGGGTACCTCAGTGAACGGCATTCTCTATTGAAGTGCCGATTGCTCGAGGTAGGAACCTTTTTCATCCCTTTTAGTAGAAGCAGAGTGCCCCAAATCAGAGGCATTTACTTAGATGCTACAATACAGATTTTGGCGGCTATACAAACTCACCCTCCTTTAATATTTTGGGAAAGCAATGAATAGAACGCACCCACAAACCCCTCAAGGAATAAAACTCCAGACTCTTACTTTTGTGTGAAGGTGCGGGTGGACAGTCTGCGTTCTTGCTCTCTGGGCTCAACGAGGCCGAAAGATGAGGTGCGTGCCCGGATCCTGACGGTTCACCCTCCTCGAGAGGGTTTTCAGTGATGCTCCCACCTAAGCCTATTCCTGGTATGCCATGCTCGGGAGGGCTCAGCTGGAGCTGCTGCTGGACATCTACAGTGGCTTCAAACTCAAAGAATGTCACAGAGGCGGGTGACTCAAGTTGGGCCTTTGCTTCAATGTTGGAGACAGGAACAGATTTTAAATGTTCTTTTGGTCTTGCTGACCCAGAGGAATTTCTTGCTCTCGCAGTTTCAGTTACAGACCTTGCAGGATTAAGAGGACCTAACCTCAAGAAGCTGCTGTCCAGGCTCTCTTGGTTGCTGACGGGAGACTTTAGAATGCAGGCAAGAGTTAGGGGTGGCTTTCCCGTGGGGGCAAAGCCAGATGTTTGGGCGGCTGTCGTCTTGTTAAATGCCATCTTCTGATTGCGATGCATCTGCAGATCTACCTCAGCAGTTATACCTTTGATTGGCGATTCTGACGGAATATTCTGGTTGATTCTGTCTCCGTGGTCGTCTTTGTCCAATATACACTGTTCTTCATCAGAGATGATTTGTAGATCTTCATTGCTTTCTAGCTTCACCTTACGTCTGTCAGTTTTGACCTCACCACCAGATATTGACAAATGCTGCTCTGCTGCAAAGCACGATTTCATGGATTTGCTATTTTTTTGATTTTCTCTGGGTGATGGTTCATCGTGTATTATGTAGACTGTGTCGTCTTTCTGCTGAGTGACCCCTGGAGATCTGCTACATGACCCTATGCTAACAGCATCTGCTTTAGCCCTCTCAAAAGATGGGGTCATCCTGAACCTCTTTTCATCTAAATTAGCTTCCCTTGATGAAGCCTCAGAGGATACTAACCTCTTTCTCTTTTCTGTGGCTTCATTCTCTTCTCTGCCTCTGATGTATAATTTTCCACACTGCCAGTGATACGCATGTCCAACTCCGCATATCCACAGAACAGAATTGTCCTTGCTAGGGTGACCCGTGTTCTGCACAATTTCCAGGGCTGGGATTTGATTGCATATGGTCCCATGAGTGTGTGCCCAGGTCACAAGATTGGAGAGATCCATGCGAAGTGAACTGGCATCGCTGCATCTTCCATCACCGACACTCTCGTTCTGTAAAAATGTGTTGGAGATAACGTAAAGAAAAGAGGATGTACATAAAATAGCAGTCCTGGGGACTGTTTCTAGCCCCATCTCAATAGAGCAATAATTGCAGATCAGGGATTCCTCTAATGATTCTTTAAAAAAAAAAAAAATCAATTTGTTCATTCTTTACAATAAATAAATAAATTTGTCCACTTTGAAGACCTGGGGGGTAGTTTGTGGGCATGGTCCTGGAATGATGACTTTAGTATAGATATAATTTATGCGTACCTATGGGCTCTGAGTCCTGATCAGGTAGCTCAGCTTAAGAATTTATCATACCTCAGCTGAGACAGAGCGGCTGTTCACATGCGTGTTCTAAATCCACGGCATAACTGGGATTAACGCTCCCACTGAGCCACCCCAGCAGCGACCACAGCTCAGCTAACGGAAGGGTAACTTGCTGAAGTGTCGTGCTCTGTTTGCAACTCTGAGTCCTGTGATCCAAGCAAGCTTGGACCCACGGCCAATTCTGTACTCGCTATGGAAGATAACAAGGGAGAGCGTCAGGAATCAGCTTCTCAGTCTCCGCCTCCCCGTGGCCAACGGGGCTCCTACTTCTCTCGTCTGTCACGACGGTAGCGCTACTTGCACCAAAGGGAAATTGGCTATATGCAGAAGTCGTTTGTGGGATGCTTTTCAGAAACTAAAAAATGGACCTTGCATCCACATATCTAAAACGTGTTTTTTAAAAATCTACAATTTTTAATGCTATAATGGATTCTGTTAGAAACAATCGTCTGTGCTATCATTTATGCTAAAAAGAATACTTACCATGTTGCTGTTTTCGATCTGACTGAGCCTTCTCTCAGGTGGAGATCAGTAAGTGACTGTTTGAATATTCTTTCTTTCTCTCTCAGAACCTAAAATAATCATCATACGCGTGTGTGTACATACATATATATTTTTAAAAAAATCTGGCTAGCAGATGCAACTAAATTTTTCAATGCTCGGTCCAAAATAAATGCTACTGCAGAACATGTGCCTTCATTAAGGTGAGCTCCCATTGAGCTCCAATGAACTATATATAGAAAGCTTGACTTGTGTAAATATTTGCAGGATTAGCCTCTACAGCATACCAATCAAAGCTGAAACAAAATATAAATATTGAAAATAGCATTTTAAAAGCCAGACTCTGCGATATGTTCCTTTCAGCCCTGGCACTTTGAACGCAGGCCGTAGTTAGCAATCTTTACTTCTCCAAATGGAGTGAACTGCAGAGACAGAAGTACCAGAAATAGTGAAGCTAGTTCAGATTCTGACATTATCTGACTTCTTGAACAGTAAAAAGAAGAGCACGTTTCCTAACTAAAGATTATTTGCATATGTAACTCATATTTACTACAGACTAAATCTGAAATTCTCCCATCTGTTCTGAAACATTCTATGTAGTAGTCTAGGAAGTCGTCATTATTTCTGTGTAACAGGTTAGAGAAGAACAATCGGTCACATAACTTACCGTCATCATACATATTGCAAGAGAGTCAAGAAGCCTTATGATGCTATGTGACTGATACCGCATGCATTTACAGTTCATAATGGCAGTCTTTGCTCCAGGCATCTTAGTCTATTATTAATTAAAAGCTTTGCATTTAGTGGTGGCAAGAGATGCCAGACTGAAAACACTGGACGCAGGAATCTCGTCTAAACTGGTTCTTTGAGCAGCTCTGGCCTAAATGTGACGTGGCTTCCCAGTGAGAACAGGCCCTTGCTGGCTTTGAAGGTGAACACGCACGTGCGGACAGCCCAGCACACCGTGAGCGCACGTCCTCACCGGGTGCGTGAGCTCGAGCCTCCGGGTCTCCTGCTCTGCACGCTCCTATTCTCCGGGCAAGCTGCAGAAGACAGGAGAAGCCCATCCCAGCTGACAGATGTAGGGCTGCTCTGTAATCCGTGAATGCGGTGTTTGTCTGCAGGGATTTATTTCATGAGTATGCTAGTTAAACTGTGGGAAAGCCTGCCAGCGCCCAGGCAGGAAACCGCAGCTCTGCAGACGCCCCGTTGTGCAGCAGCAGCTGAGGCAGAGGCTATGCCCAGCGCCCTTTACTGCCCTACCTCCACCGGCCGTGCTCAGCGGCTCCACGCGAGGCGGCAGGGCGAGGAGGGACCCGGCTGAGGCTGAGGAGCCCTGCCTGGAGGAAGGGATGTAAGTGTGACTGGCCGGGCCGCCCAGGGGCGGCCGCCAGCCCCGTGTGCAGGGCGAGGCGTGGTGGCTGCTGCAGGGCTTGGCCAGCATCAGTGACGTGAGGTGGGGATGTGGAAACCATGCGGTGGAAGGTCCTTACCCTCTCCCTCTCCAGCCTGGCCCCAGGACGGGGTCACCCGGGGCTCCCCAAGGCCACCTGCCCTAGCCCAAACCCCCTCACTGCCAGCAGGGCCGGCCTGAGGGGGCCCGGGGTACTCGAAGGCACCTGGCTGGGGGGGGGCAGCTGCCTTCCCGCTTCCCATACCCCCATCCTCCCCAGCCAGCAGCGGGGGCCTCCAGAGCAGGGTTGAGACCAACCAAACTAAACAAAACCCAGTGATGTGCAACTGCCTCCCGGCCACGCTCCTGCACCGCGGAGGAGCCCCCCGGATGGGTGCTCGCAGGGCCCTGCTCCGGCAGTGCCACACTCGCGGGAATGATGGGCAGCAGAGCGACAGGCTGCTGAGCACCAAGGCTGCAGCTGGCCGGGTGCTTACCCACCTGCTTAATTTTAAGTGAATGCTTTGATTCGCTGATGCCAAAGCTAAACGTGCTTTGCTGGATGCGACGCCCAAGTGAGTAAGCATGCAAAACCTGCGGGCAAAAGTTTAATTGGCCCAAGCAGGAAAGGGGGGAAAAAAAGCCATGAAAGTGGCGTGAGCTTCCACGCTGCCCAGCGCGAGGGAGCCTGTCTGCTGCCTGAGCGAGGCGGGGTAACGACTACGATGACAAAACCCATCGAACAATTAACGAGTGTTCAGTAGTTAGGCAAAGCTCAGCCCTAGGAGCAAAGGAAACAAATAGAAGCAAAGCATAGGAGAGCCCTCTCTAACCTCAGGAGACAGGGCAGGGAACGAAATGTCTCTGTCAAAGAGAAAAGCGCAGGTCAAATCTCTGGCAGCGTGTTGGCTATGCTTCCCGATGGGGGATGAACCGCTCCCGTTCGGGGGTGAAACTGCTGCACGGCAGCACAGCTCTGGAAGGCCCTTCTGCACTTACGCTAGTATCAATCCATATGGTCCTTCTTATGGCTTTCTAATTATAGTACAGATAATTTTAGCCTAGAATGCTTTGCTGTTTGCATATGCTAGCTTGTGAAACATGCAGAGCTAGGATTTTCAAAGAATTTTCTAACTGAAATCCGCTGCTTGCTTTAAACAAAAAACAGACCAAAACCCCCTGGTTTAAAGCAGCAAATGCATTTTGAGCTCTTGACCTCTGTTAATCTAGGTGTTGTGTAGGATCTACTGTCACCGTGTTCTGACTCCTAATGAATCACAGAAAAGAGGGTTGGAAGTCACCTCAAATGGCCGTCTCCTCAGAGAAAAGTGAGCTCTGCCCAAACTCCTCCTGAGGGCTGTTTGTCTGACCTGTCTTCAAACCTTCTAAGGACCGGGAATTCCCAGCCTATCCCTGGGCCTCAGAAAGCTGAGCGTAAACTTGTGGGAGAACCGTTTTTCCCCCTCTGAAGCCAAAGAGTTTTATCTTCAAGTTCAACCTGTGTAATTCCTCCGTAAAGGGCGGAGCTGCTTGGACAAACCAAAAGGAACTTTCATGCCAATAAGCTGGTGCTTAGAGTTCGTGTGGGAAAAGGTAACGGGAACGGAAGCTCTGCGTGGCCATAAGGCCGTGACATTACTGACTTGGCAGATGAACATCTCGATTTCTATCACGGGCGTCTTTAAATGGAATGCTTTTATCTGTCCTTATCTCCAAGCACATGTCTTCCTTTTCCTGATCTCTTTGAAAAAAAGCCTTTTTTCTCTTGGTATTTAGTTCATTACCAGAGTCTTTATTTGGAACTAAGGATACTTCTTCAGCCCACTCCTGCTCTCATATTTACATCAGTTGACAGTACCTCCAAAGAAACTGTCGAGCAGAATGAGTCTGAATTTACAGTTACAACTGAGCGGAAAAAAAATTAAATATGTATTTACCCACAAACGCTGAACTGACATACTTCTCATCTCTTCAATTAATAAAAATTCATCCCGAACATTGCCACGCTTTCTACCTCCTTCCAACAAGACCAGGATCCCTACGGGGGAGGGTGCTGGGGTCGGGGTTTGGGGGTTGTGTTTTGTTTTGAAACCTTGTGTCTGGTTCCGTATCCGCATGGCTGTGAGCGACACGGCGTTTTAATTATCTTTCCAGGAGAGGCTCCCATCTGATAATGGACACTGTGTATGCAGGACCCACACCTTCGTGCAGAAAAACAGGACATTCCAGAGCTGTACGGTAAATGTTTTCTTCTATTTTTTTTTAACCCATAGGGAATTTAGCACACTGATATAACCTATAGTTAAGTGAATTCATGCTCACTAGAGGAAAAAAGTTTAAAAAATGGACAAGATTTTGCTTTCTCGTGCATCTGAACTACATAGTAAGCTTTCAAGGCGTCAGCAGAGTATATGCTTATTTTACCTCTGTATTCAAGAAAATGTGGCCAAGTAATTTCAAAGAAGTCTACAGCAGTTCAGTGGAGCTCTTAAAACTCAAGGCGGACTAAAAGCATTGAAATACTTATTTCCTTTTAAGACTTTTCTGTGTCTAGTTTGAGCCCTGGGGGGGAAACACCTACTCGGCACTTTCTGAAAATGATTCTCTCGTAAGGTCTGTCAAACACAGGTACCTGGAATCACCTGAGAACGTAAACATCTGAATCTTGCTCTTTTACGTGGCAGTGGACTCTGTGCGGCATTATGGTACGCTGAAGGTTCTCTGAAGCCCTCTCTGA